AAATAGACTATACTGAGCCAAGCCACATACACAATAGACTATACTGAGCCAAGCCACATACACAATAGACTATACTGAGCCAAGCCACATACACAGACTATACTGAGCCAAGCCACATACACAATAGACTATACTGAGCCAAGCCACATACACAATAGACTATACTGAGCCAAGCCAATACACAATAGACTATACTGAGCCAAGCCACATACAATAATAGACTATACTGAGCCGCCACATAACAATAGACTATACTGAGCCTAGCCATACAACAATAGACTATACTGAGCCAAGCCACATACACAATAGACTATACTGAGCCACACATACACAATAGACTATACTGAGCCAAGCCACACACACAATAGACTATACTGAGCAAGCACATACACAATAGACTATACTGAGCCAAGCCACATACACAATAGACTATACTGAGACACATACACAATAGACTATACTGAGCCAAGCCACTACACAATAGACTATACTGAGCCAAGCCACATAACAATAGACTATACTGAGCAAGGCCACATACACAATAGACTATACTGAGCCAAGCCACACACACAAAGACTATACTGAGCCGCCACATACACAATAGACTATACTGAGCCAAGCCACATACACAATAGACTATACTGAGCCGCCACACATACACAATAGACTATACTGAGCCACATACACAATAGACTATACTGAGCCAAGCCACATACACAATAGACTATACTGAGCCAAGCCACATACACAATAGACTATACTGAGCCAAGCCACATACACACAGACTATACTGAGCCAAGCCACATACACAATAGACTATACTGAGCCAAGCCACATACACAATAGACTATACTGAGCCAAGCCACATACACAATAGACTATACTGAGCCAAGCCACATACACAATAGACTATACTGAGCCAAGCCACATACACAATAGACTATACTGAGCCGCCACATACACATAGACTATACTAGACCACATACAAATAGACTATACTGAGCCACATACACAATAGACTATACTGAGCCAAGCCACATACACAAAGACTATACTGAGCCAAGCCACATACACAAACTACTGAGCCAAGCCACATAAATAGTATACTGAGCCAACATACACAATAGACTATACTGAGCGCCACACACAATAGACTATACTGAGCCACACATACACAATAGACTATACTGAGCCAAGCCACATACACAATAGACTATACTGAGCCACACATACACAATAGACTATACTGAGCCAAGCCACATACACAACAGACTATACTGAAATACACATACACAATAGACTATACTGAGCCAAGACATACACAATAGACTATACTGAGCCAAGCCACATAACAATAGACTATACTGAGCCAAGCCAATAACATACACAAGACTATACTGAGCCAAGCCACATACCAATAGACTATACTGAGCCAAGCCACATACAATAATAGACTATACTGAGCCAAGCCACATACACAATAGACTATACTGAGCCAAGCCACATACACAATAGACTATACTGAGCCAAGCCACATACACAATAGACTATACTGAGCAATCACAATAGACTATACTGAGCAGCCACATACACAGACTATACTGAGAAGCCACATACACAATAGACTATACTGAACCAAAATAAAAGACTATAAACATACAAGACTATACTGAGCCAAGCCACATACACAATTATACTGAGCCAAGCCACATACACAATAGACTATACTGAGCCAAGCCACATACACAATAATTACTGAGCCAAGCCATACAAATAGACTATACTGAGCCAAGCCACATACACAATAGACTATACTGAACCAAGCCACATACACAATAGACTATACTGAGCCAAGCCACATACATAAGACTATACTGACAAGCCACATACACAATAGACTATACTGAGCCAAGCCACATACACAAAGATTATACTGAGCCAAGCCACATACACAATAGACTATACTGAGCCGCCACATACACAATAGACTATACTGAGCCAAGCCACATACACAAAGACTATACTGAGCCGCCACATACACAATAGACTATACTGAGCCAAGCCACATACACAATAGACTATACTGAACCAAGCCACATACACAATAGACTACACTGAACCAAGCCACATACACAATAGACTATACTGAGCCAAGTCACATACAAGACTATACTGAGCCAAGCCACATACACAAAGACTATACGAGCCGCCACATACACAATAGACTATACTGAGCCAAGCCACATACACAATAGACTATACTGAGCCAAGCCACATACACAATAGACTATACTGAGCCAAGCCACATACACAATAGACTATACTGAGCCAAGCCACATACACACAGACTATACTGAGCCAAGCCACATACACAATAGACTATACTGAGCCAAGCCACATACACAATAGACTATACTGAGCCAAGCCACATAAACACCCTAGACTACCAATATACTGTACATATCACATGATGTTTACAGATTCAATGTTTATTAAAATTTATTAAGAATTATATAGTGAGCCTCGATGTTAACTGTTCCACTTCATTAGTTGGAGATGAAGTGAAGATGACAAGACGCGTAGATAAATTAATAGATACGCAAACTTGTGTTAGATCTGACCAAAATACCCCGGGAACGCCTTCTGTGTGTCCGTATCTCTGCCCCTCTCTTTCTCTGTCTGTCTCTGTCTGTCTCCAAATAAAAGACAGAAGTCAATCAGTGATCTAGAAATATGTTAATTAATTCTTTTCATATCAACCCCGTTTTAGAATGATTATATTAACTATGGACTAGTGATATTAGGTTTGGGTTGCTTGCTTGGCTTTGGTTTGTTGGTGCTGGGTTTGCTGGGCTTGGTGCTGGGCTTGGTGCTGGCTGGTTTGGTGGGCTTGAGTTGCTTATGGGTTGGGTTGGTGGTTTGGCTTGGCTTGGTTTGGTGCTTGGTTTGCTGGGCTTGGTTTGCTTAGGCTTTGGCTTGCTTGGCTTGGCTTGGTTAGGTTGGGTTTGGTTGGGTTTGGTTTGGTTGTTGGGTTGGGGATGGAATATGTTTATGGTAATATATATGCTGATGGTTGGTTAGGTTAGATTAGTGTGGCTAGTTAAAGTGATCTACACACACACACACACACACACACACACACACACACACACACACACACACACACACACACACACACACACACACGAGTCCTGTTAGGTCAAAGACAGTGGTGTGACTTATTTATTTTTTCCATCTTTCTGTTGAAACTTTGGTGGGCCGTCTGACCTTTTGATGCTGCTGAGGTTTTTGTGTTGTCTGTATTGAGAGTTGAATAGCTTGTTGCTTGGGGTGTGTGTGTGTGTGTGTGTGTGTGTGTGTGTGTGAGAGAGAGAGAGAGAGAGAGTTGTGTAGTAGGCCTTTATTAACATCAACACTCCCCCACCGCGTCACGAATCTAAACAGTGTAACGCATCTACTAGTCTGCTCACGTTACAAGGTTCCTGTGTAACACCAACCCTTTGTGTTACATAATATAACTTACATTATATTGCTTTGTAACAGTTCCCAGGGTAACAATGTTCAAGTTATTATGTAAGTCCTTACTTAATTTTTTTAAGACTTTTATTTCGTTTATAAGTATTTACATGTAACGTGTAAACTAAGGTTGTTTTAGTGAAACAAATTTAGCTATTTTCTATCTTCCTCACTACAGCCTATTAAAACACAGTATATCTTTGTTCTGCTCTAATACTGTCATGATAACTACAACAACCATTGTACAAGTTATGACAACTCACATCTTATAATATGTAAAAAAATTCATTACGTCAAACACTAAACACCGAAAATATTTACATTATAATAATAACTGTCGTCATCCGGAGATACTACGTCTATGTGTCGACAAATGGCTGTTATTACTTTGATAAAATGTTTCGTCATTTATCTCATGGCGACGTGATTACAAGGAGTCAAACCTCTACAAGGGAGTTTGGAATCGAATAAACAGCGCAACAATTAAACATGACTGCTAGATTTACTTACAGATTAATATACACAAGTGTACAGTACAGCATCCGCTTGACGACATCACCAGACAATTCAAGAACTTTCGCAGGACAGCGGGTTATTTTATATTTAAAAAATAATCAGACATTGGAAAAAATGGTGTATTAAACTTTACGCATATTAATTATTATTACCAGAAACCTACTTAGCTATTATACATTATTATACAATTTTTTTTTTCATGCATCCTTCAAATATCACAACACATCTGTAACGTGACGTATCACTTTCAGCTCACAGCATCGTACATCCGGCACGTGACACCTAGGAACAAACACGCCCAACATCATACATTTACAAACCTCGATATAAGATACTTTATACCGTACAAGATTGCTTACTGGTTACCTCTTGATATTACCGCTCTTAAACATGATCTTCCTAGCGCCAACAGATTACTTTAAGTGCGTTGATTATCATGCAGGGTGTGGCAGATGCTCTTAATTTAATAAGCTGCACTTAACGGTGCAAGAGGCCCTTGAGAGCGCCGGGATCCCCACTCGCTTGGCTCACCACCCAGAGCAGGATGGCGAATGTTAAAGAAAATTCCACGAACGGGACCTAATGCTCGTGATTTCTTTTTAAAGCAGACGGTCCAAACCTAACTAGACCTACCTTAACGATTCTAGGTAATTTTGCTAAGTTCTGGCTGGTTAGCGTTGTCTGAAAAATAGGTTACAAAATCATGTTCGTAATATTTGTTTAACTGTGGCCATTTTACCCGCTCTCTGTTTATCTAGATATCGTTGGTGGAAATAATACTATCACATGAATCTGACCTATATATACTGTCAATGAATATGATATATTTCTTTGTGTACGAACCTCTGTCATGCATGGCAGTGAACAGTGACATCACCCACATGTCTTTGTGTATGAACCTCTGTCCTGCGTGGCAGTGAGACGTGATACCACCCTCAGTGTCAAAACTTGACTGAATTACTCAGAATAGGCAAACTGTACTCCAAGCTTTGTCAATAAATTTGTTAAATTAAACTAACTTGGCGGATTCACTGTTTGCGTATTCCGTGAATTTATCACAACACGTATTGACAGGCATCATAGGTTCAAATTCTGTTTCTCTTTGCTAATCTCACTCTAAGTTACTTTTCCATATGCATTCATAAATTAAAATACGAAATTACATACTCATTCTGTAATTGTAAACAGACGAAACACACACACACACACACACACACACACACACACACACACACACACACACACACACACACACACACACACAAAACAAACACCTACACAAATATGCACACACTGTATATGTAAACTGCAAGTCACTTTCGCAGCAACATAAAAAGCTGATAGAACAGGTGTTACTGGAAGGTATCCAACTAAATGTTAAACAAAGGCATAATATCTATAAATGCAGGAACACAATCATCAGTCAACTCCTTCATGCTGCTGATATAAATTTAGACTCAAACATGTCGCTCTGTGCCCACCACATATAGAAACAATACCTGCTGAATCAATCAAATTTCCCCCATTTACTGACCTTTAAATGTGTGAAAAAGACATACCTATAGTGCCACGTAGCGCTTGTTGCATAAGTCACATATTAGTTTATTTTGCATTTGTTGTTATATATTTAGTTTTTTAATTGGTCATCCCAACCCCACATAAGGACACATACTCGTTATTACTTTTGCTTACCTACACTGCCTTTGTACAGTCAGACTATAAACAACTTCTACTCTTTGGTTCGATGGATTTCAAAATGAACACCGCTCCTGTCGTCTCGAGAAGGTTGCTCAGCGTGACTGTAACGTCATTTCCCTTATAATTATTTTTCGAAAAAATTCTAATCACATTTCTAAACATAGAATACAGCAAAGGAATTTTAATTATGATAAGTAACAGGAACAGCATCATTGGCAGCGCCACACATCCCCATACTGTGTAAGGAAAACAGGGCTACCTATGTGAAGCCAGATGTGAGAGCTTTGTATGGAATGTTCGCTGGTTTGTCTTATTGTTCGACACTGAAGAGGTAAAAGTAATTTAAGGTCTGACTGTACATACTGAGCCAATGTGAACTTGTCACACACATGACCCTGTTGCTCTCTTAGACAGCCAGGGCCGCCCCCATAAAGAAAATTCCCAGTGCTCATTTTCCTGTACTAAAGCGAGCAAAAAATCTGTTGCTGCAGCTTTCCCTTTTGAGGAGACTGTTGTCCGTAAGAGTTCCGCCATGTTGGTTGTTATGATTTGGGGTTGGAGATGGACGTAAGCGAGGTGCGTGTTTGATAGTCCGTTTTCTGAGACGGAGCAATCTGACCGGAAGTTGGAGGAAATAGGCACGTGTGATACGCCCCTTTAGCCTCTTGGGTGGTCAGTCACGTCTCTGTTACGCACTGTTGGCAAGTACTGTACTGGTTCCAGAAGGCATCTGCACCTGCGCCAGTATTGGTCAAGTCTGGTTCTAAATGAGCTTACACTTGTTGCCGTCACAACACTCTCTGACAGATTATTCCAAGAGTTCACAACTCTCACTCCAAAAAAAGTTTGATCTGACAGTTTTCTAAACTTTTGATTTCTTCAACCTTAAGCTGTGAACCCTAGTGGGGCGGGCATCCGCTAGTGCCAGGAATGAACACTCGACTGAGTAATGTCCTCTGAGGTACTTATGGACGTCTATTAAGTCAACCAATCGCCCATCTATATAAGCTTCGTAACGGCAGGCGTTCTAATCTCTATGGGTACTTGAGGTACCTGAGTACAGACACCAGTCTGATGGCTCTCTTTGGACAATTTCAATCAATTGACAGTCTGTAGCATATTTCGGGAGCGGACACAGCGCTCACCTCATGTTCCGGGGGACGGTAGTTCGATTTCCGGGCGCTCTCAGTTCACCCAGCTGTAAATAGGTACCTGAGTTTACAACTTGGGGAAATGATTACGGTCGAGTGCAGTACCGACCATGCTGCCTCCCTGTGTACCCAAGTCTTGGTATAAAAGTGTGCTGTATCCACACTGTCCCTAATGGGCAGTCATGCCTTTGGGGCTCGCTTTCATTTTTTCAGCATATCTCGGGGACCAGAATGGGTGACAGTACAGTACTCCAAACTGGGAAATACTTCGCTTTTGAGCACCGTTGTGAGGGATGGACCATCTAGGTATGTGAACGACCTTCTTATAAGACCTACTAGCCTATTTACTATAAATACTTTCTTCTCACAGTGGTCCGAGAAAATCAATTCGTTGTCAACATACTCACTCAGATCCTTTTCACATTTGGTCTCGGTTAATGGTGATTCTTCGTCCCGTTGGGCAATGTGATACGCCTCCTTCCTATTGGTACATTTTCTTGAAGGGTTCTCTATTTCCTGTCAAATTAAAAAGAAAAAATCTAAAGAAGTTTTAAAATTTCTATCAATATGTTACATTTTCTTGAGAGGTTCTCCGCTTTCAAGAAAAGTAGGTTTGTTTATCCGAGTCGTTGGCCTCCAGGAAGTAGTGGGACAGTTGAGGAGGACACAGGGACGCCCAGGGAGACCTGCGATCATGTGTACCAGCAGGGGACGGAGGCACCTCCCCGCTTAATAGTGCTGTGGACACCCTTCTGGCACCAGTGGACGTCCTGGGGCAACATCGTACAGCAACGCGGTCGTCTGAGAGAGGCCCGCTGTCCAATCTGGAGGTCAGTGAGCAGTCCAGATCCAGGAGTTGGATTCTCAAAGGTTCATACGTAGAAGTTTCCTCGTAACTGCAGATGTAAAAACACACATAACTGGCTCACTTACACTATTGGGACAAAATTAAGGCTTTATTTTTTATAAATCAAAACCTACATTCTTACAGATACACAACGTAAGTAACCAAGAGATAAAGCTTCGATAAATAGAAAGACATGTAGCTTGAAATAGAAGCAAGAGAACGCCACACGGACAACAGCTGTTTTCATGCTAAACGTATGTGAACTCCTAAAAAAACCGTTCTGATATCACAATTAAGGAACAAAAATGACTTAGAACATTACACAACTCAGGTCCAACTAGGTGCACACTCGTCAGCGTTCAAATGAGAGAATGGTCAGTCTTAGTTCACTCAGGACCTGTATGACTGCTCTTATGATAAAAATGTGACTATGGTAAGATTACAGTAAAATATAAATCAATCGCTACATTACTGATCGTCCGTTTGTGTGTAGGTGTGAGTTCGTGTGGACCCCAGAGTCGACGTTACACAGAGTGGCGGAGGCAGATGCTGTCGTGTTCTTCAGTCTGGACTTCTTCACCCGACCTCTCCCTCCTCGCCACCCACGACAACTCTGGATCTGGCTCGAACTGGAGGTACTGTACGCTTCTCTATAGGTACACCGCATTATATATACAGCACACTATAGGTATAACACACTGTAGGTACAACACACTATACCTCACATACTATAGGTTGTATACAATAGAACCCATACACTAAAGGGTACTACACACTATAGGTATTACCCATCATAAAATTAGAGGGCAGCCATTGCTTATAATAATAAAAATGATAAGAATAACAACAATAAGAATAACAACAATAATAATAATAATAATAATAATAATAATAATAATAATAATAATAATAATAATAATAATAATAATAATAATAATAATAATAATAAAATAATAAAATAATAAAAAAATAATAATCAAAAAAATAATAATAATGAGTTTGCACAGCGCAGAAAAATTTAAGCATTTCGAATTTCATAACAGGAATAGAACATCGTTTTATACAACTACTGGGCCACCATCAGGTACAGTATAACAACCTTATATCTGTCTTGTATTATATCTGTGTTAAGTTTTATCACTGCAGGCTACTTAGTCTTCCGGGTTTCGTTACAGCGATACACAATTCCTCGGGTTACATCCACAACGACTATACAGGGGACACACTGGCAGGGGGACACAACGAATATGCAGGGGACACACTGGCAGGGGGACACAACGACTATACAGGGGACACACTGGCAGGGGGACACAACGACTATGCAGGGGACACACTGGCGGGGGCACAACGACTAACAGGGGACACTGGCGGGGGGACACAACGACATGCAGGGGACACACTGGCGGGGGGGACACAACTGACTATGCAGGACACACTGGCTAACGACATACAGGGGACACACTGGCAGGGGGACACAACGATTAAGCAGCGGGACACAATGGCAGGGGACACAACGACTATGCAGGGGACACACTGGCAGGGGGACACAACGACTATACAGGGGACACTGGCGGGGACACAACGATTAAGCAGCAGGACACAATGGCGGGGACACAACGACTATGCAAAGGGACACACTGGCAAGGGGACACAACGACTATGCAGGGGACACACTGGCGGGGGACACAACGACTATACAGGGGACGCACTGGCGGGGACACAACGACTATACAGGGGACACACTGGCGGGGGACACAACGACTATACAGGGGACACACTGGCGGGGGACACAACGATTAAGCAGCGGGACACAATGGCAGGGGACCTAACGACTATGCAGGGGACACACTGGCAGGGGGACACAACGACTATACAGGGGACACACTGGCAGGGGGACACAACGATTAAGCAGCGGGACACACAATGGCAGGGGGACACAACGACTATGCAGGGGACACACTGGCAGGGGGACACAACGACTATGCAGGGGACACACTGGCAGGGGGACACAACGATTAAGCAGCGGGACACAATGGCAGGGGGACACAACGACAAGGGGGATACAACGACAAGGGGGATACAACGACAAGGGGGCACAACGACTAATCATGGGGACACAACAACTAGGCAGGGGGACACACTGGCAGGGGGACATAAGAACATAAGGAGTCTGCAATAGGCCGGTTGGCCTGTGCATGGCAGCTCCTGTCGAGAGTTACTACCACTCTCTATCATCCATGAATCCATCTAGCCTCCTTTTAAAACTTTCCAGCGTTCCAGCACTTATCACAAAGTTGCTAAGCTTGTTCCACTCGTCTACCACTCTATTTGTGAACCAGTTTCTTCCTATCTCCCTCCTAAACCTAAACATATCCAACTTGAATCCGTTGCTCCGAGTCCTATCCTGCTCGGATATTATAAGAACTTTATCTATATCTCCTTTATTAATTCCTTTCACCCACTTAAATACTTCTAACATATCTCCCCGCACTCTTCGTCTTTCTAAAGAATGCAAGTTTAGTTTCTTTAACTTATCTTGATATGGAAGGTTTCTAAGTCCCAGAATCATTTTCGTCATTCTTCGCTGCACCGACTCCAGTGAATTGATATCCATTCTATAATAAACGCACAAGAACTGAACAGCATAATCGAGGTGCGGCCTGACTAGCGCAAGATATAGTTGCAATATGACCTCCGCACTCTTATTACTTACACTTCTAGATATAAAACCCAATACTCTATTTGCCTTATTTCAAACATTAACGCACTGTTTTCTAGGCCGAAGGTCCGTGCTTACAAGTACCCCTAGGTTTCTTTCACAAGTCGATTTCTCTAGGTTGATGTTGTTAAGGCTGTATACATTAACAGTATTAGTTCTTCCAATATTAAGTATGCCGCACTTGCTGGTGTTGAATTTCATTTGCCATTTTTCTGACCACTCCTGAATTAATCTGCCGCTCTATTTTGGTGTCATCCGCAAACTTGCTTATGTCACTGCTGATCCCAGTATCTAGATCGTTTATGTAGATTATGAACAAGAGTGGGCCCAGTACTGACCCCTGGGGAACTCCCACTGGTTACACAGCCCCGACTAGACAGGGGGATACAACAACTAAGCAGGGGGACTCCACGACTAAGCAGGGAGACACAGCGACTAAGCAGGGGGACACACTGGCAGAGGGACACAACGACTAAGCAGGGGGACACACTGGCAGGGGGACACACTGGCAGGGGGACACACTGGCAGAGGGACACAACGACTAAGCCGGGGGACACAACGGCCTGCATCCTAAAGTGTACTTTTGTTCTGAGTTCACATGGATGGGTAAACCTGACCTATTTTTTCCGTGTATAGTTTGTATATGTTATAATAAGTACATACTGGGCAGTCCCATTTATACCCAACCCATAGCGCTCATATATCCATCCAACCTATGTTTGAAGCTATCCAGCGTATTCGAGTTAATGATGATGTTTGGTAACTTGTTCCACTCATCCACTACTCTATTTCCAAACCATTGTTTACCTATCTCGCGCCTAAATCTAAATTTGTCTAATTTTAAACCATTGTTACGAGTTCGCTCCTGGTTGGATAGTTTGAGTACCTTTCGTATATCACCTTTGTTTAGACCTGACTTTCATGTATACACCTCGATCATATCGCCCCTCACTCTACGTCTCAAGAGGGAGTGCAAATTAAGATGCTTTAACCTGTCTCTGTACCCAAGGTTCCTAATGCCCGGGATTAGTCTTATCATTCTCCTCTGAATTCTTTTTAGGGATTCTATATCCATTCTGTAGCACGCTAATCAGAACTGAACTGCGTAATCCAAGTGACGTGTCACAAGTGCAAGATATAGTTTTAGGATGACCTCGATAGTCTTGTAACTAACACTCCTTTGTATGAACCCAAGTAGTTTGTTAGCCTTGTTTATGATCCCGACTTACCATTGCTCCTAAATCTTTCTCACAGTCGGATTTCTCTATAACATCGTTGTTCATCTGGTATCTGGTTTCTCTGTTTACATCTTCTAGACTAAATACGACAGCTGGATTTGTACGATCGTGTTCGTACGGAATGCATTTGTTTAAAGTTAAGACTGCCATAATGCCTCAGAACACGAATCAATCCATCAACCAAGGTGCCATCGTCGGTGTCTTGAGGACTGGTGACTACGGCTCTCCACTCCAAAAGTTTTCGGGTTGTTTTTACCAATCCAAGGACAAACTTTTTAATTAGGTTCGGTTAGGTTCGGTTGGGTTGGGTTAAAGAAAGAGGAAGAGTGTGTGTGTTGGGGGGGGGGGTATAACGGTAAGCATGTTCGCCTTGCAAGCGAGCGGACCCGGGCTGGATCCCAGGACAGGGTAAAACTTTGGACATGTTTCTTTACGCCATTTGCCTGTCTACCCAGCAGTAATTGGGAACCCTGATGTTAATCGATTTGCGGATCGTGTTCCGGGGTAATGATTAGCCAATGCAGTTGGCAAGTTGTCCGGTCTTCTCGGACTATTCCTTGACACTGGGTCATACAGCTCGTTAACTCAGGGTGTGGTTGTTGTGTTGGCGACAGCTTCTACACCTTAAACAAATTCACGCCGAGGTGGCCCTAGGGCCGGCTATCCTCGTTACACGAGGGGCAGCCATTATTTGTTATTACGTGTGTGTCACGCAGTTATACACACGATACCATTTCCTAGAATCACGAGATAAACACAATGTGTTATCCGAGTAGGAAAAAGTGAAAGATAACAGGGAGGCGATAAGACACGAGCTGAGAGGGGGAAGGAGAGAGGTTAGGGTGGAGGGGTGGTGGAGACTGCATCACGGACAAGTACTACTGTAGTGGCTATAGTGGAGCTTCCAATTCAGACACTAAAAGATAGATAGATAGATAGATAGATTGACAGATATAGGTAGATAGATATTGGTAGATATAGATAGATAGATAAACAGACAGACAGACAGACAGACAGACAGACAGACTAGATATTTATTCAGTACACACTATAGGTATAAGCAGTGCAGACAGAGTGGAACAGCGACTTTCACAGGGAGCAGACTGACGGTGGTGACGATGACAGGAGAAGTAATGAACGAAGACAATGATTTTAGACATGAGAGAGAGAGAGAGAGAGAGAGAGAGAGAGAGAGAGAATGACTGATTGTGTTACCGTCGGTGGGGAGTAGAGAGGTTCCCACGTGTGAGGTAAAACATGACAGATATACAACTGACTGATAGTATTATCCTCTTGTTCACAGATGCGTTAGTTCAGGAGGGAATTTTATTACACAAGTTCAAGAAAAATAATGCGGTAAAATGGAGTTAAAGATATCATACACAGGTGTTATATTACTGGATCAGGTGTTATCATAGACAGGTGTTATATTACTGGATCAGGTGTTATCATAGACAGGTGATATATTACTGGATCAGGTATTATCATAGACAGGTGTTATATTACTGGATCAGGTGTTATCATACACAGGTGTTATATTACTGGATCAGGTGTTATCATACACAGGTGTTATATTACTGGATCAGGTGTTATCATAGACAGGTGTTATATTACTGGGTCAGGTGTTATCATAGACAGGTGTTATATTACTGGATCAGGTGTTATCATAGACAGGTGTTATATTACTGGGTCAGGTGTTATCATAGACAGGTGTTATATTACTGAACCAGGTGTTATGGCATCTGTTCATCGCTTGAGGTAGTGTTAAAAAGCGAAAAAAGTCCCCCTCAGATAAAGGATTTCATACGTCAAGTGAGACTGGGAGGGGTGACGTAGAGGTGGTCAGCAATGGGTGACCTGATGAAGAGTTTATTACGGGGATTGTTGACCTTGGTGGAGAGGATATTAGGATGTGTTGTTTTGATGTAAGAACAGAGCGGAAACTCCATTCGGGCAACAGAGATTATTACCGCCCCAAGGAACCAATGGGAGGGAAGGAGACATCTCTACCGCCTCTCTAAGATTAATACTCTTGTCTGTCAGGGTGAGGGAGAAGATATTTGTGTAAGATACAGCTTTAATGCTCCCGAGATGACTGAACACAATCCGCGCTGCGTGTAGCTTGGCGTGGAAGATACATCATCTTTTTAGGGCTGTGGCGTGTCGGTAAGTTCTCACGAGTTGCGAAAAATGATGGCGGAGAGTTTGAGAAGTTTGCGATAGACTTGAGGCCGAGTCTTAGATCTGGGTGCGGCGGCCGACTGGATACGGCACTCGCCTCCTGATGGTCGCTGGTTTGAAAGTGGGGTAATCATAGTCCTCCTAACTGTGCATAGGTATCTAAATTTATAGCGGAGGAAGACGAGTACAAATAGTCGCCAGTGTTCTACATCCGTATCACCACTAACAAGCGACCTGCCCACGAGCTTTATTTTCAGGGTACTCCCGGGCCGGTGTCTGTAGGGTGTTGGATCTGGTCATCAGTCAAACTCATTCAACTGGCGTCTGGGTAAAAATTTTCACATTTCCGGTAATATAAATATAATTATCTCCACCTTAGTTAATATCTTAACACCCGAACATTCATCTCATCACGACCACCTTGATACCCTGCCCATGTACTGCATAGTTGGTCTTCTGCCCTAACGGTGTGGAGGGGGGGATTAGGATTATGTGAAAACGTGTTTTTTTTATATGACTGAACTAATGTCTTATTTTCTGTGATAAGACATATTCACTCTTATGACTGATTGTACGTCTTAAAGTCTTCTCTTTACTTGTTTTAGGAAAGACTTGTTTATGTTTCCTCAGCTAATGTCTTTGTGTCTTTTTCGCCATGGGTGACAGGTGCCGCCCATGAGTCAGATAGCTACAGCGTCATGGGCGACCGCGGAGAAGAAGGGTACCTTCTTCAACGTGACTATGTCCTACCACCACCTCAACCACATCATGCTCCCCCAAGGTTACCTCCTGCCCCTCAACACTCCGTCCCACTGTCCTCTACTACCAACCAGTCACCTGAACACGTCTTCAGCCGCCTTCAGGAGCTACAGCGAACACCTGGCGAGGTATGACTCACTAACGCAAGGTGAAAGTCTTCGCCTGGATCACTGGCTGAAAGCTAAGGTATTACGGCTCAGAAATAATTCAGGTCGAGCATTTCCACAAAGTCACAGCAGAAAAGCACCTGGCGGCCAGGGCAACATTACAGAAACTTTTAGGCAAAACAATGTCAATAATGCCGCCAAGAAAGACGAGAATGAAAAACATAATGTTGAGGACTCAAGAGGAAGTACCAAACTAGACAACACTATAAACGGTAATGATGAAGATGAGAGAAAGTTTAAGACAGTGTTGACAGAGGAGGAGGTGAGGTGGGCTGGCAGGACCCAGCTGGCGGTGTGGATGGCCAGTAACTGTCCCACTGATTCTCGGCGGGAATCAGTGGTGGCGGCTCTGCAGCGACACGTCAAGGTCACCACCGTGGGCAAGTGTGGTGAGCTGACCTGCGGCAGGAACCACATGGACACTTACTGCTACCGCTGGTTGGCTGCCTCCCACCTCTTCTACCTCTCGTTTGAAAACGCCTTGTGCGACGACTACCACACCGAGAAGCTGTGGCTGCCCATGGAGCATGCCATGGTGCCTGTGGTGTATGGGGGCGCCAGGTACCGAGACATACTTCCCTTTGAGTCATATATAGACGTGGCAGCGTTCTCCAGCGCCAAGGCACTAGCTAGACACCTGGTCTACCTGGCTAATCACCCCTTGGTGTACCTGCGTCACTTACAGTGGCGTAGGTACTGGCGGGTAAGGTGGCCAGTGCCATGGTGTAGCCTGTGTGAACGTCTGCACAATCCCCACCCACACCCTACCCACACCACCCTCAACAGGTGGTGGAACGACACTGCAGACTGTTATGAACCCTTGACCTGGTGACCTTAACTAATGCTCACCGACGCCCTCTAATGTGTACACAAACTGCAGTAGTGTTGAACTGTAGCCAAAACTTTACTGTAAAATACATTATTCTTGTAATCCCTTAAGATAGCAACCCTCACTGTGATAGCCTTTGTAATTGCACTGATCATGACGACGCGCGCCTGTGTGCACTGACTCACAAGAGGTGATAACTATAAGTGTCTGATACAGTGAGTTGAAAGTTCTCAGTCTCACCCATAACTCTCTGTGTTCATGTGGTGTTGTAAGATCTCATTTACCTTTGAAGCCATGAAGCAATTATTTATGACATTTATTAAATATTTCTTATATAACTGTGCTACTTTAACCATGTCTGGTGCTTCTGATAACAACAACAACAATACTACTACTACTACTACTACTACTACTACGACTACTACTACTACTACTACTACTACTAATAATAATAATAATAATAATAATAACAACATATTAGTGAGGTAACTCGGTACTGCCCCGCTCTGTGAACTCAAGGAGACAACCTCAGTCGTGACCCATAAACTTTCTCATTTCCAACTCGTTCAGCAACACATGACTAGCCTAATGACGAGACCTGACAATAACATTTTCCATATACCAAGAAGCTGTTTAAACCACCAGGCGTTTATCATCTTGGTGTAGATTCGATTTCACTTTGAGCTTCGGGGGGGGAAGGTCAGGGGGGGCAGGGGTGCAGGGCAGGGAGCAGGGCCGGGGGGCAGGGCAGGGGGGGGGGCAGGGGGGAAGGGCAGAGGGGGCAGGGCAGGGGGGGGAAGGGCAGGGGGGGGCAGGACGGGGGGGAAGGGGCAGGGGGGGCAGGGCAGGGGGGAGGGCAGGGGGGGCAGGGGGGTGCTATTCAGTCAGGATTGTATCAGTGAGTTTGACCCCCAGTCAGCCTATGCTAACCTTTCTGAACTGACTGATAAGATTTTTCCTCCATTTGAGTGGGCGGGTGGTGTGTTGGTGTGAGGTGGTGTGTTGGTGTGGTGGGTGGTGTGTGTTGGTGTGGGGGTGGTGTGTGGTGTGGGGGTGGTGTGTTGGTGTGGGTGGTGTGTTGGTGTGGGGGTGGTGTGTTGGTGTTGGGTGGTGTGTTGGTGTGGGGTGGTGTGTGTTGGTGTGGTGGTGTGTGTTGGTGTGGTGGGTGGTGTGTTGGTGTGGGTGGTGTGTTGGGGTGTGGGGTGGTGTGTGGGTGGTGTGTTGGTGTGGGGTGGTGTGTTGGTGTGGGTTGGTGTTGGTGTGGGTGGTGTGTTGGTGTGGGTGTGTTGGTGTGGTGTGGTGGTGTGGTGGGTGGTGTGTTGGTGTGGGTGGTGTGTTGGTGTGGGGTGGTGTGTGTGTGGGGTGGTGTGTTGGTGTGGGGTGGTGTGTGTTGGTGGGTGTGTTGGTGTGGGGTTGGTGTGTTGGTGTGGGTTGGTGTGTTGGTGTGGTGGGTGGTGTGTTGGTGTGGTTGGGTGGTGTGTTGGTGTGGGGGTGGTGGTGTTGGGGTGTGGGGTGGGGTGGTGTGTTGGTGTGGGGTGGTGTGTTGGTGTGGGGTGGTGTGTTGGTGTGGGGTGGTGGTGTGTTGGTGTGGTGGGTGGTGTGTGTTGGTGTGGGGTGGTGTGTTGGTGTGGGGGTGGTGTGTGTTGGTGTGGGGTGGTGTGTTGGTGTGGTGTGTTGGTGTGGTGTGGTGTGTTGGTGTGGGGTTGGTGTTGGTGTGGGTGGTGTGTTGGTGTGGGTGGTGTGTTGGTGTGGGGGTGGTGTGTTGGTGTGGGTGGTGTGTTGGTGTGGTGGGTGGTGTTGGTGTGGTGGGTGGTGTGTTGGGGTGGTGTTGGTGTGGTGTGTTGGTGTGGGGTGGTGTGTTGGTGTGGTGGGTGGTGTGTGGTGTGGTGGGTGGGTGTGGGTGGTGTGTTGGTGGTGGGTGGTGTGGGGTGTGGGTGGTGTGTGTTGGTGTGGGGGGTGTGTTGGTGTGGGTGGTGTGTTGGTGTGGGGTTGGGTGGTGTGTTGGTGTGGTGGGTGGTGTGTTGGTGTGGGTTGGTGTGTGGGGTGGTGTGTTGGTGGGGTGGTGTGTTGGTGTGGGGTGGTGTGTTGGTGTGGTGGGTGGTGTGTTGGTGTGGGTGGTGTGTTGGTGTGGTGGGTGGTGTGTTGGTGTGGGGTGGTGTGTGTTGGTGTGGGGTGGTGTGTTGGTGTGGTGGGTGGTGTGTGTTGGGGTGTGGGTGGTGTTGGTGTGGGGTGGTGTGTTGGTGTGGGTGGTGTGTTGGTGTGGGGTGGTGTGTTGGTGTGGGGGTGGTGTGTTGGTGTGGGGGTGGTGTGTTGGTGTGGTGGGTGGTGTGTGTGGTGTGGGGTGGTGTGTTGGTGTGTGGTGGGTGGTGTGTTGGTGTGGGGTGGTGTGTTGGTGTGGGGGTTGGTGTGTTGGTGTGGGTTGGTGTGTTGGTGTGGGTTGGTTGTTGGTGTGGGTTGGTGTGTTGGTGTGGGGGTGGTGTGTTGGTGTGGGGTTGGTGTTGGTGTGGTGTGTTGGTGTGGGGGTGGTGTGTGTTGGTGTGGGGGTGGGGTGTGTTGGTGTGGGGTGGGTGGTGTGTTGGTGTGGGGGTGGGTGTGTTGGTGTGGGGTGGTGTGTTGGTGTGGGGTGGTGTGTTGGTGTGGGGTGGTGTGTTGGTGTGGGGTGGTGTGTTGGTGTGGGGGTGGTGTGTTGGTGTGGGGTGGTGTGTTGGTGTGGGTGGTGTGTTGGTGTGGGGTGGTGTGTTGGTGTGGGGGTGGTGTGTTGGTGTGGGGTGGTGTGTTGGTGTGGTGGGTGGTGTGTGTTGGTGTGGGGGTGGTGTGTTGGTGTGGTGGTGTGTGTTGGTGTGGGGTGGTGTGTTGGTGTGGGGGGTGGTGTGTGTTGGTGTGGGGTGGTGTGTTGGTGTGGTGGTGGGTGGTGTGTGTTGGTGTGGGGGGTGGTGTGTTGGTGTGGGGGTGGTGTGTTGGTGTGGGGGGGTGTGTGTTGGTGTGGGGGTAGTGTGTTGGTGTGGTGGGTGTGTGTGGTGTGGGGTGGTGTGTTGGTGGTGGGTGTGTTGGTGTGGGGGTGGTGTGTTGGTGTGGGGGGTGGTGTGTTGGTGTGGTGGGTGGTGTGTTGGGTGTGGGGGTGGTGTGTTGGTGTGGGGGTGGTGTGTTGGTGTGGGGGTGGGTGTGTTGGTGTGGGGGTGGTGTGTTGGTGTGGTGGGTGGTGTGTTGGTGTGGGGGTGGTGTGTTGGTGTGGGGGTGGTGTGTTGGTGTGGGGGGGTGGTGTGTTGGTGTGAGGGGTGGTGTGTTGGTGTGGTGGGTGGTGTGTGTTGGTGTGGGGGTGGTGTGTTGGTGTGGGGGTGTGTGTGGTGGGTAGTGTGTTGGTGTGGGGGGGTGTGTGTTGGTGTGGTGGTGTGTTGGTGTGGGTGGTGTGTGGTGTGGTGGGTGGTGTGTGTTGGTGTGGGGGTGGTGTGTTGGTGTGAGGGGTGGTGTGTTGGTGTGGGGGTGGTGTGTTGGTGTGGTGGGTGGTGTGTTGGTGTGGTGGGTGGTGTGTTGGTGTGGGGGTGGTGTGTTGGTGTGGGGGTGGTGTGTTGGTGTGGGGGTGGTGTGTTGGTGTGGTGGGTGTGTGTGTGTTGGTGTGGGGGGTGGTGTGTTGGTGTGGGGGTGGTGTGTTGGTGTGGTGGGTGGGTGTGTTGGTGTGGGGGTGTGTGTTGGTGTGGGGGTGGTGTGTGGTGTGGGGGTGGTGTGTTGGTGTGGTGGGTGGTGTGTTGGTGGGGTGGTGTGTTGTGTGTGGGGGTGGTGTGTTGGTGTGGGGGTAGTGTGTTGGTGTGGGGTGGTGTGTTGGTGTGGGGGTGGTGTGGTGGGTGTGGGGGTGGTGTGTTGGTGTGGGGGTGGTGTGTTGGTGTGGGGGTGGTGTGTTGGTGTGGTTGGGGGTGGTGTGTGTTGGTGTGGGGGGTGTGTGGTGTTGGTGTGGGGTGGTGTGTTGGTGTGGGGGGTGGTGTTGGTGTGGGGGGTGGTGTGTTAGTGTGGTGGGTGGTGTGTTGTGGTGGGTGGTGTGTTGGTGTGGGGGGGTGTGTTGGTGTGGGGGGTGGTGTTGGTGTGGTGGGTGGTGTGTTGGTGGGGGGTGTGTGTTGGTGTGGGGGGTGTGTGTTGGTGTGGGGGGTGTGTGTTGGTGTGGGGTGGTGTGTTGGTGTGGGGGTGGTGTGTTGGAGTTGGTGTGTTGGTGTGGGATTGGTGTGGTGGTGTGGGGGTGGTGTGTTGGTGTGGGTGGTGTGTTGGTGTGGGGGTGGTGTGTGTGGTGTGGGGGTGGTGTGTTGGTGTGGGGGTGGTGTGTTGGTGTGGGGGTGGTGTGGTGGTGTGGGGTGGGTGGTGTGTGTGTGGGGGGTGTGTGTTGGTGTGGGGGTGGTGTGTTGGTGTTGGGGGGTGGTGTGTTGGTGGGTGGGGTTGTGTGTTAGTGGGGGTGGTGTGTTGGTGTGGGGGTGGTGTGTTGGTGTGGTGGTGTGGTGTTGGTGTGGGGTGGTGTGTTGGTGTGGGGGTGGTGTGTTGGTGTGGGGTGGTGTGGTGGTGTGGGGTGGTGTGTTGGTGTGGTGGGTGGTGTGTTGGTGTGGGGTTGGTGTGTTGGTGTGGGGTGGTGTGGTGGTGTTGGGGTGTGGTGTGTTGGTGTGGGGGTGGTGTGTTGGTGTGGGGGGTGGTGTGGTGTGGGGGTGTGTGGTGGTGTGGGGGTGGTGTGTTGGTGTGGGGTGGTGTGTTGGTGTG